TGCATTGGGTGTTTTGGGTCAGCCTCTTTTTTCGCCATTTCGCATCGACTCGCCACTTCTCTGCGGACGCCTGGAGGAGCGATACCAGCCAGAGGATACAGCATTGCAACAGGAGTTGGTTTCAGACAGCCTGTAATTATCCGGCATGTGTCATTTAATGCTGTATCTACCAGTCGAGTATGTGCAGAACGGCTCCAGACTGGGCAAGCGTATTCGCCCGCAGAAATGATAAGGCCATTCCAGTGGTCCGCAGGACTTGAGGCGATGCTCCCCAGTTGGTGGATATGAGGCGGCGTAAAAGATTGTTGCGCGTGCCCACTTTCTGCTTGGTGTTGCTGCAGTGCTGTTTATAAGTGAGTGCTCTATCCAGTGTGATACCGAGGTATTTTGGATGAGGGCAATGAGCAATGGGCACGTTTTTCCAGCAAATATTCAAGGTTCGCCTAGATTCGCGATTGCGTAGGTGAAAGACGCAGGATTGGGTTTTAGATGGGTTGGGTCTAAGGTAGTTTTGGTCGTAGTAGCAGCCAAGCGTATCAAACGCTGAAGTAAGGCTACTTTCTACCTGTTCAAACGACGTAGCTTGAGCCGTAAGTGCCAGATCGTCGGCATAAAGGAAACTTGATGTATTGGGTGGTCTAGGCTGGTCGTTTGTGTATATGTTAAATAACATTGGTGCCAGCACGCTACCCTGGGGTAGTCCGTTTTTTTGAGGTCGCCATCGGCTTTTGTCGTCAAGAAGGTGAACTTGAAAGCGGCGGCATCGAAGTAGCTCGCTGAGTATCTTCGTGAAAGTAAGGTCACCAGTCATTTCAGCCACCTTCCATAACAACCGTTTTATGTTTACTGTGTCATATGCAGCTGATAAGTCGACAAATACGACGCCTGTCACTTGACCCAGCTCAAACCCGTCCTCTAGGTGTTGTGTGAGGTTGAGAGTTTGATTGCAGCAGGATTTTCCCGGTCGGAATCCAGCCTGCTCGGGAATGAGCTTAGGGTCAGCAATACTTACAAGGCGATTCAGAAGCATCCTTTCGAATAGCTTGTACGTATGACACAGTAAAGATATTGACGGTAGCTTTGGGATCGTCGGCTGCCTTCCCAGGTTTGAGTAGCGCGATTACCTTAGATTTCCTCCAGTGCCGCGGTATATAAGCAGAATCAATACAGCTGTTGAACATTGCCAGGAGCCATGATACAGCGACAGGCCCTAGGTGCTTTATTTGCTCGCTAGAGATATTGTCAACCCCACATGCTTTTCCACATTTGAGGGACTTGATAGCCGAGATTATATCGGTGAGTACAAAAGGCCTGCTTATTGCTGTGCTAGTATCCGGGCAGCTGTTGGCTTTAGGGATAGTAGATTGGCGATGGCCTGGTTTCCCGTTCAGCAGGAGTTGAGTTGCGACTAGGTTAGCCGTTACATGTCCTGGGACATTTGCTGGAGGGGGGTCACCAGTGAGTTTCCTAATTGTCCACCAAGCTTTTTTGCTGTTGTGTGTTAGATCAATATTGGTCACTAAATCTATCCACCTTTTCTGCCTGGCCTCGCTGATCTGGGCCAATAGGTCTTCACCCAACTGTACCGTTTCTTCTGAGAAGGGATCAGTCTGAAATAGCTCATTGTACCTTTTGAGTAGGACTGCAGAATCGCGAGACAGGCCAGGTGTATATGATGTGTAGCAGCCTCTTGGAATAGATTTACACGAAGCTGAAACTATCACCTCAACAAATTGATCATAATTCTTAGCGTTAGGTGGTATGCTTGCAAGAGCGTCGTCGATTGTCTGAGCGTAGAGTTCCCAATTGGATTTCGCGTAGTTGAAGCGGCGCTTGAAAGGGACGATTGTGGGGCGAACTGCAGAGTGAATAGAACACATGATGGGTCTATGCTGGGTTCTTGGAATGGGCGGGCACATGGTTTTAATGCACTGTTTAGCGATATTCGAGCTACAGAATATAAGATCGGGGTTGTAGCCTCTGCGCCACCTCCCGCTGTGAAAGGAAGCTGGTAGTTTAGCATTATGAATTAATGTTAACTCTTGTGCATCCGCCCATTCTTCAACTGCCTGTCCATCAGCATCCGTGTCCTTGTAACCCCAGGTCGGACTGTGACTGTTAAAGTCACCAACAACCACTTTGGTAGTACAATTGTCAAAATTACTGGGTTTGTGGAAATGGAATGGAGCTGTAGGTGGCTTATACACAGATGTTACGGTACAATGTTCAAGGCTCAGGGTGATGAGTTCCACGCAATCTTCAGCTGATATCGAAACGTTTTCCACCTTGATATTCGGCCGTACGAACACAGCGCTCCCGTGTTTACGGTGAGGTATTTCGGCCACTAGCGTCAGTCCGGGTATTTGCGGTCTGACTTGGTCAGCACCGCGGTGTGTCTCTTGGACACAAATGACACTTGCATTTTGTTTCAGGCACATTTCAGAGAGAATTTCTGCTTTATTTTCAGAAAACCCTTCAATATTTACCGAGATAACTCTAAGGGCTGCGTCTGCAGTCAAATCTCTGTTTGCCGTTCTATGCGTTTGCGTGGGCCTTGTCTTAGGCCTTTGTGGTGGCCCTAAAAAGGGCCGTTGGTATATTTTTTTCGCCATTGGAATCGTGGTGGAAGGATCAGCCAGTCTGCGTTACCGACTTGCTGTCCTCGCAGACTGTTGCCCAGGGTGCGCCGGACGTATAAATTAACGATACGTCACTCGGGGAGGCTCCTTCCTTGCACCTCACATGCTAAAATTCCCTAATCCCAAAATATGCAAAATGTTAAAAAAATGTGTAATTGACTGTACACTGTAGCTATAGTTTACCAATAGCTCAGTCGACGAATGGCGTAAGTAGGCCTAGCACGCCAGTCGGCAGAAAGCGAGTTGGCGAATCGCGCCGGTTTGCAAAACGAGCAAGTTGGCTTACCGCGCGTACTCCGCCTTGGAGGCATATGTCCAGATGTTGACTGCTATAGGCTGATGTGATGTGATGTACAAACTTACCCGAGTTTTGCGAATAGGGGTGGGAGTTGTAAAATGGCGGTTGTTATCGGGTATTCATCCAAAGAAGCGGTTGAAAACGAAAAAGTGACGTGAAAATCCGATACCTAATTACCCATCTGTTAAAACGAAGAATAATAAGTTATATAAAGATTTGTTGTTTTTTACCGGGAGAAACAAAACAGGTATAGCAAGCCGAAAAGAGTGATGAATAAGCCTCGACTTAAATTAACAAGGTTAGTCGTTATAATAGTAAATATGATTGACGATTTTGTAAGGGAAAATGTAATGAAATTGTAAGTTTGAAACCTGTTATCAAAAATTAAGATCTCATCAAAGCCTCCTCAAAGAAACTGTTGGTTTAACTTGAATAGTTGCCAATTGCCGATATTAATGGATTTTAAGTTTGACAGCTGTTAAAAATGTCTTAGTTTTCTGAATAAATTACATAAATATAGCTATTTATAAACAACCGCTTCTCGCCGGTTGTTTTCGGTAGAAATGGTTTTACCCAAGTATTATTTTCGTTAAATGAATATTTACTTCTACTTACATAGGTTACTGTGAAATGGATACCACGCCATCTGTCGGTCGAATTGTCGTTGTAAACAGCGAATCTTTTTGTGCAAATCGTCAGCATCGTTTCTTTTACGCCGCCTTTTTTTCGCTGTTACCATTTCAGGTAAAATCGACACTGTCTTAAACCGACTGGTCTTCAAAATTTACGGTTTAGAAGCACATATTATAACACAGCCGCCTAGATTAAAATTAGGCTCAACACATGTCACTGACTTTCTAAGAGAGAATTTTGTAAAATTATAATCTGATTAAAATGATTAAATTTCACTTTACTAGATACTTCTGATAACTCTCTTAGAAAAATATGTTTTATGCAGCACCGAAATTATGGACCACCTTTTGCACTCAGTTTCTTTTTACACAATTTAATCCGTCACCTTACACGAAAGTTTAGTCGCACAAATTTACACGATTTTTTATAAACTTTACACGATTTTAATATTTTCCTTCCGTTTCCACTTAAATCGCGACACGCGCTGTTGACAACTGAAAAATAACATCACAATTGAGTATTTTAACGTTATTAATTACTAATTATTTTAAACTTTATTAATCACCGTATGTAGTGTCTATACGTAAGATAGGTTAACGACTAAATCCGTTTATCTATTAAATATTTTCTTGTAACTTCCAATCTTTGCGTCCTATGACGCAAGTAAAATGTATTTGACGCAAATACGTACCGAAAGATATGTTGACATGTTGAGTAAAAGAAACGTATGACAAACGGTAGACATAAGGCTTGTGTAGGAGTGGGGAGGACACATCCTACTTGCTACTACATTTTTTTATCTATGTAAGCTTGTGTATTAATCTTACCGGATGTTGAGGCGAGGTCAAGAAAGTGTTAATACGATCTTGCCTTGAACACCAGATATTTCCGGTTCTTTACGATGTGTAGGTATTTGAAATGGCTAGAAAGAAAGAGCATCACACAAAACTACGGTGACGAAATCATATTTTTTGTCTACATCTTCAAAATTTTAAAAGCATTTATTCCGAACCACAAAAAGAGCCATAAAACGTTATTTTGGAGTAGCGAAAGCTTAAGGTGAGGCGAGCTTTAATTTTCTCTTCAGTTTCCGCCTCTTATTTTGAGAAAACTAATTAAAAATGGACGGAAAATGCTTAACAAAACAAATGGAGGCCGGAGTAATTCGTATTTAAAAAATCGACGATTTTTACTTCCTCGATACTTATTTATTTATGATTTTAATACCTTAACACTGCTTCAATCGCAAAATTAGCTTTCATGGTCTTTAAAGGTAAGAATAGGTGCTTCATAATTTGTAGTACAGAATTATGAAATGTTTTGCACCATATTTGCCTCTGCAAATTTTGTAGTCAGCTTGTGATTTTCATCACGAGAAAGGGATCACATATCAGTCTCATGAATAAAATTAGATAATTGAATACTTGAATATCGTCGGCCGGGACTGCAACCCGTGAGCGTGGGGTACCGTCCCACTGCTCTGCCTACTGAGCTACCGGCGCCAGTATTTCTAACCTAACCTAACGAATTTTTCAACCTCTTGATGCTCGTCTCGAAGCGACGATTAGAATTCCAATAGCTCTTCGTCTCCTTGAAAGCCATCTCTACAGCTGATAACATAAAGTCCATTCGCAATAATAGTGTCATGAATAGACATGACCAGCTTAGGCTTAATACTTCGCAATACTTAGATACAACACGACCAGCGTAAATTGGCCTCCCGCTATGATTTTGACTTACAATACAAGGTTTTTAAAAGTGGGTGGTTACGTTTCTTATCACTAGAAACAGGCGTGTGTTGGCACTTAATCTAAAAAACAATCTTTACATTTTGATATCTAGATGTATACTTATGCATGTATAGACATTTCCGTTACTGTATTGGAACGTAAGGCGTAGAGCATAATATGCTCCGTAACGGAACGGAAAATCATGTTTTGATGTTTACTGTGCAAGATATGTTTGTTTATTTTTGCATTAAATTCTATAATATTTTTTAATAATAAAGATTGTTGTCTTTAAGAACTTACAACTCGCAGAATATAAGTACTTGTCGCGCTTTTGTTTGTTGTAGGTATATACAAATGTGACATAAAATGCTTTGAATTCAAGTTGTCATTATACAACTTCAAAACATATAAATTAATTAGACAGATTAGCTAGGTAATTTGTTTTATCAAATGCGAATGAAAAATGAAATACCTACCTACTGCCCCTTAAAAATTGAAACTGCCAAAGTTAACTACCTACTTACATAACTTTTTGTGAAGAATATTACAATTTAGAATATTTTCAACGTCCCATGCATGGACAACTGCGATAGACAATACTAAAGAAACATGCTACCTGCCATGTCTGTGACTAAAACAACATAGCACTATTTATACACCTAACAAACAATTAACACTTGTGTGCTATACCTAATTTCACTACTCTGTAGGTAAAGCATCATTCAATAAATTTGGGGAAAACACAGATTCGCATCAAAATGCATGCAATACAAGTTAAAATATTCCAAACTCCATATATGTGCATAAAATGAAATATATAAATAAATCACTATCAGTTATCATGCCAATGTAGTGTGTTATCACGTAATCTGACAAATTACTAGCGTGATATGTGGAATTGGGTTGCGATAGCGGTAAAACATACCTAGGCCGCGATTCGAGAAAACAATTCTCTTAACTAGTTTAAATTAGTACTGTCACTTTTCGTCTAATCGGTTCACAAAAGGACAGAAGATATTTAAGTCTCGTCATATTCAAATTTCAGAGGGTTCATCGCCATTTCTAGTTAATGAGTTAGGAAACAGGAGAACTAACCTGGTGTGCCTTTTTACTGCCCACAAAAAAGAGGGTAATATTTTTAGAGTTCAGGTATGTATGTATGTATGTGCGTTTCTTTAAAGCACTGTAACTCTTTAACCACTGAACAGATTCGATTGGGAATTTTGTGAGAAAAATCCTTACATTATCCCGATTGTCATAGGCTAACCTCATTAAGCCATACTTGCGCCTGCTACCAGCTGCAATAAGCTTTGAGTTTTGCTCCCCATTAAAACGCCATTGATTTCACCCTCGCCTTTTTTGACAGTAAACGCGCATTCTGCGTCAAATTTTAAGACAATTTTAGTCTCGATCATCCCCTATCCTTTTCTATTAGACGGAAAGGGACTGCACTAATTTTAGTCACGTCATGAGAATAGTTTTCTTGAATCGCGTCCATTCTTAAAAAAATGTAGGTTATATTATATTTATTTATAATATCAGCACAGCTGATCTTATCTTGCTATTGGAGAACATGAATTTTCTTCAAAAAGATCAAAAATCACCGACTAAAGGTAAAGTGATAAAACAAAAGTGCTTTTTGAAGAAATGATAAGCTGGAACAGTAGTTTTAGGTTCAAATTACGGGGAATTGATAAATACTGATATTTTTTACACGGTTTGTATGAATTTACATAATCAAGTAGCACATCTACAGTGCCTTGCATTGCGTATACAGTGCCTTGTATTCCCAATTTATTGAAATAAACATATTTTATTTTATTTGACTTTGACTTTAGGGTATACAAATTTAGTTTATTATCGCGAGCCACATCTTTTTCGACCCTAAACCTGCACTAAATAACAAAAAAAACAGCTTCTTAATTGTTAAGAATTCAAATTTGCTGCTATAATGAAAAAAGTTCAGTACGATGGCCTACAGCTCTTCTCCAATTTAATGTATTTCCATTGGAACACGTTGTATGTGTTATACATACATCACCCCTTTATCCCTTGCGGGGTAAGCAGAGCGTCAACGGCCGTAAAAGTACGGTCGTTATCGCCACGTCTGACACATATTTGAGGGCCGTTTTAGCTATTGTCGTGTATCGCTATAGTGACAGGTTGTCAGCCTGTCGCCTAAAATTGCAATACACATGATACCCTCGAGTCCTTTAGTCGCTTCTTACGACACCCACAGGAAAGAAATGGGGTGATGCTATTCTAAGCCGGCATCACACGGCAATGTATGTCGGCATTGTATGTGTTAACCCTACAATTTAGGTAGTTATCAGTTATTTTGACTATACGTAGCTTAATTTTTATTAGTGAGATTTGATTTTATCTTAGAAAAATATGTTGATTCAACAACTTTATGAGCTGTAAATTCGGTTGAGATAAAACACACAATATAAACATTAAAACATCAGATAATGACATAAGTCTATAGCTATAGATAGATGATAGTTCGCATCTCACACACACCACATGTATTTGCGGTATTTTGCTTGTCAAAAATCGTAACTTCGCATTACATGACATGACATCGACGCCACAAATTAGGGAAGGGCTCAGTCAGTAGTAGCGACGATTTTGACGCTTACTTACTTTAACTGGGAATCTCAGGAGAACTCAATGAAGATGGTTGCCACGAACGTCATATTTATTGGATCAAAATTGGCTCAGATTCATAATTAAGACGTTCTTTTATCAGATTTTGCTGTTTTGATATTCTTATACTTTGAGATTTTTGACAGTAGCAACCCTGACTATGAAACAAGTGACAGTCGCAAAAATCCTAAATAGAACTCGAGAATCGAAAGAACCTTATTTCTTTTTTTTGTTGACGCTGCATCACCGTGCCGTGCAGCTTTCGCAAGCTGTCATTTGCTTTCTGGCTGTCAAAGACTTAATATCGTGCGAAACGAACTTACTTACGCAATACTTCGATGTAGCTTAAACTACCCGTTTAAGATATCAACCTATATTGGATTTCAATACCGTTTCTAAGAACAACCATTACCACATGATCCGTTTGATGTACATCAGGGTGTGTTTATAGGTCGTCATCTTCCTGCACTTATCCAAATTACTTGAGGTCGGCGCAACGCAACATATCACTTGTTTGAGCATAATATTCTTATTGTAAAAGGATTTTGCTCAGTTTACACTCTTTGGGAACGATATCGGCAGATATTGTAGCCAAGGTCAAAAAGTCTACGTCGTCTTTTACGAAACACCCTGAGACTACAATGATATTGTAAGGTCAAAAACTCTACGTCGACTTTTACGAAACACCCTGAGACTACAATACAGGGTTATTTTTTAGTCAGTGCGCAAACTTTGCAGGATGTTTCAACTCGTGATTCTGAACAACTTTTACTATGGGGCCACCAGCGAAATCTAAAAAAAAATTTGGTTGTTCCATACATTTTTGCCGAGTAGGTATGAATTTTTCTATGGAATATTCAAATTTTTTTTTGTGAATTCGGTCCCGTAATAAAAGTTGTTCAGAATCACGAGTAGAAACACCCTGCAAAGTTTGCGCACTGACTAAAAAATAACCCAGTATGAGTGGCAGAAATCTTAGCCGCTACTACTCGGTGTTGCATATAGGTGAAATTGAATAAATAATAACCCTTACACCACAAGTGTCATACAAGGGATGTTCATTAAGACACGAGGGGGGGGGGGAGGGTATCCATAACCTGCCCGCCACTAGTGCTGAACTAACATGTTGCGTATGTTACACTGCAGACAGGGTTGGATTCAGGAACTGTATTATTTTGTACTTTACTTTCGTAATTACGTCTCTGTTGCACAATTATTTTTAACCTACAATAGCCAAGCGGGAATTCACAGGGCACTATGGACCAGCCATCTGAAGAAAAAAATTTATTAGGTAAGTATGACATTAATTAGTCAATAAAACCTGACCAGCAAAATACTGCAATATCTCGTGGCAAATGTGAGAATCACATAAAAAAAACAAATATTTTACATACCTAACACCCATTACAATTTCAACAAGTTACATACATACATTATAAATATCACGCGTATATCAGGGTGGTAAAACGGGGCGTATAAAACGGCTATTTACACCACGTCTGACAAAATGGGTTGAATGTCATTCACTAAAATGTGTATCACCATATTTACAGGTTGCCAGCCTGTCGCCTAAAATTTTAATAAGCATCAAATCTCGAATCCCTTAGTCGCTTCTTACAACACTCACAGGAAAGATATGGGGTTCTAAGCCTGCACCACATGCCAAAAAGTTACAAACCAATACTTAATAAAAGTTCTACAAATCTCGACAACATGTAATAAGTTTGTGTGCAAACGTCATAACTATGTGACCATCTTTTCTGAAACGGGTCGCCCTTCTCAAAACCTTTCCCCGCAAGATACATTAGTGTGATATCTATTAAAGTGTCATATTATGTTGTCATTCGTCACGTCAGCATTCGTTTCGAGGTTGTTGAACTTTTTCGGTGAAAGTGAAAAATATCCACAAGTATTCTGTCTGTTAAAATATAAGGTGTAAAAAAATTTAGCTAAAAATATTACTCGTTTCACATTTATATAATGTCGGAGGCCGTACAAAATGTTTCGACTTTTTTGGGGAATAGTCTCAAGGTCCAAATCATCTCTACATATTCCACGTTTCTCATACTTTCTATACATCCATTCATAGTATAAATGAAACTGCTTTTTGAGTTTCTTTGTCT